TGTCTACTGCAACATTGATCAACACGGAAAACATTGACCAGTCTGAGGAGTGGAGAAAACCCCCACTAGTAAATGGCCTCACCCTTTAACAGTGTTATATGGAAATGCAGCAGTTGGAGACGTCGTTAGAAGTGGGCAGGGCCCACTTGTAAGGTATTTCCAGGTTATAAGTCCACTAAATTTGGTTTTTGAAGCAGATAGTAATTGTAATGTGGGAAGGTGGTGAGGAGAGTATAGGAAAGATTGTTAGCAATTGATATCAGAAGTAGCTTAGTGGGAAGTATTAGTTTATCTCCCGACCAGAGATGAAATCTCTGGCAAGGAAATAATGAGGAATGTATCCTTTAGGTTACCTTGAATGAGGTGGAAGTAAAAATTGGAGAAATGGGTTGTAAAGCTTAGAACATAAAGGAGGAACACTGCAGTAGGCCTGTTGGCACATGCTAGGCTGATTGAAGACTGATTACATTTTATGAAGTATTAGTTAGTTTAATGTATTTTACAGTCAATATCCATCCTATAAGATTGTAGGAAGCAGAGATGAAATGTGTAATGATGTATCATGGTTCAGTTGGTAGTGGCCTCGACTGAAGAACCGAGATTCGATCCCGGGCACATGTGGGCATGTTCCCTTGTATCCATTGGCACTGTTCACATAGAGTAACACTGCAGCAGGCCTACTGGTAGGGGTGGCATCCTGGGGGAGTATAAATGCCCAGATAAAAATGTCATAGATATCCTGACTTGGTGTAATTCTGTGTTAATCTACCGGGTTAATAATTATACTGAGATAGTTTAGTGGTGAGGGTAATGGTAGAAGTCTTTATGCCGGGTGTAAAGAAGGCCTATTAAATCAGGCATATTCATTATTAAGATATAATAAAGGAGCACTGAAGCAGGCCTATAGACCCATGTTAGGCAGGTCCAATTCTCAACCACTCATTTGTCTAACCTATTTTTAAAACTACACAACCAAGGTTTTAACTTCACATGACGGGATAAATTTACCTTAGACCCTGTTGAACTTACCTAGACCCCCTTGATCTTACCTAGACCCCCTTGATCTTACCTAGACCCCCTTGATCTTACCTAGACCCCCTTGATCTTACCTAGACCCCCTTGATCTTACCTAGACCCCTTGATCTTACCTAGACTTCCTTGATCTTACCTAAATCCCCTTGATCTTACCTAAATCCCCTTGATCTTACCTAAATTCCCTTGACCTTACCTAAATCCCCTTGACCTTACCTAAATCCCCTTGACCTTACCTAGACTCCTTGACCTTACCTAGACTCCCTTGACCTTACCTAGACTCCTTGACCTTACCTAGACTCCCTTGACCTTACCTAGACTCCCTTGACCTTACCTAGACTCCCTTGACCTTACCTAGACTCCCTTGACCTTACCTAGACTCCCTTGACCTTACCTAGACTCCCTTGACCTTACCTAGACTCCCTTGACCTTACCTAGACTCCCTTGACCTTACCTAGACTCCCTTGATCTTACCTAGACCCTCTTGACCTTACCTAGACTTCCTTGATCTTACCTAGATCCACTTCATCTCATCTAGACTCCTTTGATGTTACCCAGACCCCCCTTGATCTTACCTAAACCCCTCCTTGATCTTTCCTGGACCTCCCCTTTGATCTTACCTAGACCCCTTTGATCTTGCCTAAACCACCTCGATGTTACCTAGACCCCCTTGATCTTACATAAACCTCCTTGATCTTATCTAGACTCCCTTGATCTTGCCTGGACCCTCTTGATCTTACCTAGATCCCCTTCATCTTATCTAGACTCCTTTGATGTTACCCAGACCCCCTTGATCTTACCCAAAACCCCCCCCCCCCTTTATCTTTCATGGACCCCCTTTGATCTTTTCTGGACCCCCTTTGATTTACCTAGACCCCCCTTTGATTCACCTAGAACCCCTTGATCTCAAACTCCACACCGTCGCGTTAGCGACGGTGTGGAGTTTTTTGACTGCGGGTTCACACCCCACCCGTGGGATGGTTTGCAATCTTTTCATTACGATTTCGTGAGTCACCCTTGATCTTACTTTTACCTCCTTCATCCCCCCTAGCCCTGCCACTGCTCTGCAAATACTAAGGCCTATACCTGGAGTATGCTGCATAGTTGTGTGTAATTTTTTCTAGGCTACAAAAA